ACTAAGAAGAACTAACTCATCCCAAAGTTTTTGCCTGGTTGCATCTGAATATGGATCAGCATAAATGACACTAAGAAACAAATACTGATCTGAAAAAGCATTGAGGACATGACAATGAATAGCCTGGCAGCTCATGGCAAACATAGTGACATGAATGTGATGTTCATAAAGAATCAAAATTCTTCCAAGGCTGGCATGCACATAATTATGGACTACATTCCAAGATGGTAACAAGTAGCTAGAAATTTCCAAACATTTTGATTGTTGTACATGAGTTTCCAAAAGACATACCACATCAGCATCGTATTGTAACAAATACTTTTTAAGATCCTTCTGCTTACTAGGCATATTAATGCCCTTTATATTCCAAAATAAAATATTCATTTGGAGTGAGGATGAGGACCTTCACTTGAGGAATTTGAACCTTTCCTTGTCTGTCTCTGTTTGGGTAGCAATGTTTTTGTAGCTGCAGCAACCCCACAAGATGCAACTCGCATTCTTTTTTCTGGTCCCACGCCCTGCTCAGGCATGGTTAGAGCAGAAAATGAATTTTCAGTAGGGACAACCCTTCCTGGAGAAGCATTAACCGAAACAGCCCCTGCTAAAACTGAGGTTGATTGCACCACTTGAATATCCTTTTCTAGTTGGTTGTCAGGCACCATTGGTGAAAGGGGAATTGACTGGGAAGGTTTAGCCTGACTAATAGAACTATAGCCTGACTAACAGAACTATCACCCTTGTCTTCCTCCACTTGCTTACTTTTCCCTTTCTTAGCTACCACTTGCCACTCTTGCTTTTGCACTGATTTTTTTGGCTTTGCAGTACAATCCTTCCTGGTGTGCCCCTCCCTGTTACAAGCATCACACTTAACAGGTAGCCATGGATATTCAAACATAACTTCCACTGGCAATCAATTCTCAGCTTCAACAAAGGCAGATTCAGGGAGTTGATGAATTTTGTCAAGGTCAACTTCTACACAGATTTGAGCAAAATTCACATTAGTGCGCAGCTCTGTAGCTTTATCCAGAGAAATAGGGATACCAATTGCACTGGCTATATAACCCAAACCTTGCTTAGTATACAGAGTGATAGGTACATTCCAAACTTTAATCCATATGGGCATCTTAGAAGGTTTCAGGTTAGTCAACTCAATATCGGGTTTCCACTGCTGGAGATGCAAGGTCTTATGGTTCACATGCCAGGGTACTTTGGACCTAAGGATCCAATCCCTAGTTATAGAATCAGGCACTTTGAACAAGTATGTATTGTTTCCCATACCAGTAACTAGGATTTTCCCTTTTCTTCCCCAAAGCATATTCATTGTGTGTACAATATCTCCATAATTGGGTGAAGACCCACCTATGAAAACCCCGACTAAGCAATCTTCCCAAGATTTTATCCCTTCCTCATGAACAGATCTAGGCCATTTCACAACCAATTTGCCATCACGCAATTCAGGAGGGTGGTAAGAGAGATTACGTGTTACAGAGTCAGCGGCAACAGCATCAGCCCAAGAAGGAGAGGCAGAAGGCTTCGCACCGAGGATGCCAGCCGGAAGAATAGTGGAAATAGTGGGCAACATAGAATCAAGAGGCGGTGGATTGGCCACAGAAGGCGAGGATCCCGTAAGCCTCATTACTTCAGTCGCGAGCTTTGAGTGAAGCACTTCGACAGACGATGACGATGGAAAACTAGTCGCAGATGGGGTTTGGCAGGTTATAGGAGAATGTGACGGTGACTGAGAACTGGGAATCGTCGGCGACTTCCGGTGGGAACGCGCCATCGGCAGGAAAACGGGACGGTTATTCTTTCTCTCTCTAGGCAGTTAGCACCCTAGAAGAAAGAAAATCCCGAAGTCAATGTATTTTTTATCTTAAAAATTTCCACTCTTCAATATTCTTGATGCTCAAGTAAGGAAAAGTTCTGCACATTAAGAGATAGCAAAGGTTGCCAAACTTGCATATCGATGCTTGAGCTTGAGTGGTAAAAAGCAGCCAAAGATGATCGAACTTGCTGCAGAGATAGAGCAGATTCGTCTTTCGCAAAACATTTCAAATGGTCAACAAAATCATGAAGCGGTTAGGTATGTCAGAACTGAAGTAACCAATCTCTGGGATGGTGCCTCAACTTCAACAGGTTCAGGTTTGGACTCTGAAGCAGCTTTGTCTATAGAAATGGAGCCATTAATTTGCAGTGAATCATGGGGCTTTAACTGATCTATCCTAGAATGCATTTATTCCATGTTTGGGGACATAATACGCTCTTTCTTTGTTTGTGTTTGAAAATTTTTAGTTCATTCAATTTTTATTTTTGTCACTTTGCAGTTCAATGTTCGAATAAACGTCCTGCGCAAGATGGATATAATTGGCAGGCTAAAGTATTATTGAACCATTTCTATTTCTGTTTTAAATTCATTTTGACTTATAAAAGACTTACCAAGGTTTTTGGTTTTTGGTTTTATTTATTATTTTTTTTTTTCATTTTTCGCCCAAACACAGTCAAAAACTTGCCAAGGCTAAACCAAGTCCTCAACAAATGATAAATATCACGTACTTTTTAGATTTGGTGCTATATACATATACGAATTAATGTGCATGTATGAGTTATTTATTTTTATTTCCCAAAAGGCTAGCACAAAGTCATTTCCTAATTTTAGTTCAACTATCCTGAAATGTTTCCCCCTCAGACAGCATATTAACAGTCAGTTAAACATTGAGTATGTATTTCCTTGCTTGGTGGATCTTATGAAAGTATGAAGATTTCCTTTGCTTACCAAAAAACATAAACTATTTTCTTGAAAACATTTTCCAAAGTGTTCCAATTTCCAAACAACAAAAAATAATCTTTTTGGAGGAAAATATTTTCCAAAAAGGAATCATTTTTCACAAACCAAATAGACCCTTAAGCATTAGAATTTTATGTAAAACAGAAGCTAAGAATTTCCATCCAAGTGGACCAACCATCCTCTAGAAGGGAAAAAAGAAAAGATGAAAAAAAAAAAAAAAAGAGGAGGAATTTTCAAGTGGATTAAGTTCTTCTAGTAAACATTGTATTAACGTGTTAGTGAAGCCGGCCAGTTGATTCTTTCTTCCTTAGAACTTCATGGTTTGGGAACTTCATGGTTCGGGCGGTTAGTCCCAGACCATGCATAGAAACATGGATACATTTCTTCATCTCAACTATATATTATAAAGTTCCACTTACACAATGCTATCTAAATCTCAA